CGGCCATTAGAGATGGCCGACCGGCACTATTTTTGGTCGACCGGCCATTTGTTTTGGTCGATCGGCCACCTTTTCTAGCCGAGCCTTTTTCTTGAGGAGGATTGAACCTTTTGAACCCCTCATTTTAGCTTCTTGAGGAGGTTTGAACCTTTTGAACCCCTCATTTTAGGTTCTTAAGGAAGGTTTGAACCTTTTAAACCCTTGGTTTTAGCTTCTTGAGAAAGCTGGAACCTTTTGAACCCTTGCTCTAGCTTCTCCAAGAAGCTTGAACCCTTGTCTAGCTTCTCCAAGAAGCTTGACCATTTTGCTCCAAGCTTCTAAGAGAAGCTTGAACCTTTCTTAGCTTCTTAAGGAAGCTTGACCCCTTTGTTCTAGCTTCCTCAAGAAGCTTAAACCCTTCTAAGCTTCGAAGAGAAGCTTACACCTTTTGCTCTAGCTTCTCTAAGAAGCTTGAACCTTTTGCTCTAGCTTCTTGGAGAAGCTTGAAGCCCCTTTGTTCTTCTATAAGAGGGAGCCTCTCCCTCATTAGCAAGGGTTGAAGAAAATTGCTAAGGCAAGAGACATACATATCTTCCTATATCTCTCTATTTTGAGCTCCAAATTGTTTGGTTCTTGACCCCTTTGCACACCAACTCTTAGCCTAACACCTCCATCATCAACCTAAGGATCTTGGAGGCCATTTTCAGATGTTGAAGGTCAGGTTTTTGGGTCTCAAAGCCGCTGGTTTTGCTGAAGCTACAAGGGTAACACACTTTACCCTCTTTTGGTCTTTATCTTGCTTCATCTATTAGCCATACTTGCAAACATTTTCGAGCTTTGCCATAAACTGAAAAAAGTCTTATTTTGAGCTCCTTTTGAAGTTTGTTTAAGAACACTTTTGTGTTTGGGGTTGTTTACCCCCTCTTAGGCCTTGTTTGGCCTCATTTTTGTGTCTTTTTTGTGAGTTTCGGGACCACCTTGCATTGGCCTTCCCACCATTGAAATCCAGAGGGATTTCAGTGGTGGGGATGGTGTTTTGAGATCCTAAGAAGGAGAGGGGTGATCCTCTCATTTGTTGTCTTGTTTACTAGCATTTTTGGCCCTTCAAAGGAGCCCTTATTTGCACACTTCTTGAGCTCGGTTCAGACATTTTTCAGTGAGTTTTAGGGCCTGCTTGAACCTTTTCCAGAGCTTTTTTTGTCATTTAAGGCTTGCCTCTTGCATGTGTAGAGCAACCCCTTGCATGGCTTTCCAAAGGAGCACCTCATTCTAACATGTGTTGACCATGTTTCAGTGGGTTTTTGGGCTTTATTTGGCATGTTATAGCTCTGACTTTTACTGGTTTAGTTGGCTCTTACATGCTTCATGTACTTGCTTTGCAAATCCTCTCATTTGCCTTAACATTCACCTTGTGTTTAGACCACCATGCTTACATGTTTTGGCTTAACCTCATGAAGATTTTGGCTTTGTTTTGCCATGCTTGAGGTCTGGTTTTGGTTGTTTTGATCATGTTTTCCATGATTTGTATAGCCATCATGCATTTTAGCTTGCTAGCTTTGGGTGTATGGGTCGCTAGTATGCTTTACTTGCCTTATTCTCGTGATTTGACATCATTGGAGATCATATTTCAGTCCATGTTTCATTCTTGTATGCTTGAATTTTCCATCCTTTCAATGCTTTGAAAAGTTGATGTCTTATGCTTCATGTTTAGGCCCTTGTGTATGCATGCTTGTGTGTTTGTTTTCATGTATTTGTCGCATCATTTTGGCCGCTGATTTGGACCTATTTGAGAGCTGCCCATATTGGTTTAAGACCATGCCTTGCATGTTGTTGCATGCTTGCCTTGCATGTTGTTACATACTTGGCTCATTAAAATGTTGTTGCATGTTTAATTGCATTTGACATGCTTGAATGATTGCATATCTTGTCCCTTTACATGTTGTCACATGTTTGCCTTGCATGCTTGAATGTCCATATTGCATGCTTGAGCTATATTGCATAGTTTGGAATATTATATATTGCATGCTTGAGCTATATTGCATGTTGCATGCTTGAGTTATATTGCATGGTTTGGAATAATACTATAAAATATTATATATTTATATTTTAAAATTACGGAATAATTGTCTTACATTGAACCATAAGAAACGTGAACTACGTGCATTGAAAAGGGACCTTAATCCATTCATATCGTCAGCATCTTATGCGGAAATTGACCTTTGAATGCATGTGATTTGAAACATTTTTGTCGTGAGAGTGGGGTAGGTGGAGGTGCTCATAAACGTCAAACCCCAACAAGAAGTTGATCCTTGGTAAAAATAAATAAATAAATAATAATTTTTAATTGGTAAGTACCTAATATATTTATTTGCATAAATTTTTATAAATATACATAAATTATTTTACAAAAGCACATAAATTTTCATAAACATACGTAAGTTAACTCATAAAAATTTAAGAAATCATAATTTACGTATATTGGTGAAAACTTACGCGATTTTATAAGATAATTTATGTATATTTGTGAAAATTTACGCAAGTGCATATGATATGTACTTTGCAAACCTAAACACTTCCCAAAAAAAAAAAATACATCCAAACACTTCCAAAAAAAAATGCTAATTTTTTAAGTTTTGCATAATAAAAATTAATTAAAAATATTTTTAATAATTAAGGGAAAGTAAATAAATTTGAACAATATTACTAACACAAAAACCAACACAACATAGAACAAAGACACTATAATTATAAATCCTAGGCTGTGTAGGATTCATAATCATGTGATTATTTATGATTCATTTTGTATTTAATTTTTTAAATAAATTACATTAACCTTTCTTGAAGTTTAAAATAAAAATTGAGTAAGCCCTCACAAGATTACTCTTTCAATCTAATTTAAATTTTGAAAGTTAAATCATTCATAAAATTATAAAGAACACCACGTTTAAATTGTGTCACTTTGATTGAATGAATATCAAGATATTATACTTATATAAAATAAAATTTCTCACACACAATCTTAGCCTATGCACAGCTAAAAAAAACAAATAATCAATTGATTTTGAATTAGATATTTTAAACAAGGATAAAACTTTCTCAAGTTCAAAATTTGCATTCGACCATCATATAAGAGTGTGAATTCAAGCATCATATAAGAGTCTATGAGGCTCATTATGAGTTTTATTTCAATAATTCAAATCGTTCATTTTGTAGAGTTCTTTATGTGTATCATCTATGAAAAAAGTAGATCAATCCGATAATCATAATATTTTTATTTTATTGCGTTTGCTTCAAAAGAAAAAAAAAGTAGTCTATTTTTAAAAACCTACTTGTCATTTTTTTTAGAGACAAATGTAATAAAATAAAAATATTATAATTATTGGATAAATTTTTTTTTTTTTCCATAAATGATATTTATAAAAGATTTTATAAAATAAACGATTTTAATAATCAAGACAAGGTCCATGGTGAATCCACGAACCCTGACATGATGGTCAGATTACTTTGGGTAAATTACACTTTTTTCCCTTTATATTTGCCCTTTTTTTCATTTTGGTCCATAAAGTTTTGTTTTGTTTTGGCTTTTTAACTTTGGACTTTTATGTTTTGAATTTTTATTTACATTCAAAGGTCAAGTTTGGCAAGTCCAGAAAAAGTCAAAAAGTTATTCAAAAAGTTAAAAAGTTAGCACTATTCACCAAAAGTCAACAATTACGGCTGCATAATTCCCAATTCTAATTTTCTCTTACAAACTAATTTTTACAATTTTTTATTACACATTTTTCTATAAAAAGTCAAAAAGTTAATCCAAACATTTATATTTTCTTTCTCAATTTTTTAGTTCAAAAATACAAAAAGTATACTTATTTAGAACACCCCAAACAATCCCAAAATTAAATAGAAAATGTTATATTAATTGCAACATATTTTTATATTGTGTTAAAAGTATAAATTACATATAATAAAATATTTTTATGTTACGTTACTATCTATATGTTATTTTTGTGCTACGTGACTTTAATCCATTCATAACGTCAACATCTTGCGTGGAAATTGATCTTTGAATGGGTGAGATTTGAAACCTTTTTGCCGTGAGAGTGGGGGTGGGGGTGTTTACAACGTCAAACCCCAAGAATAAGTTGATGTTTGGTATAAAAAAAATAATAATAATTTTTAAGTGTGTAAGTGCATATTATATATATTATGTGTGTAAAAAATATGTGTATAAATTTTTATAAATATATATATATAATCTTAAAGTTATGATTTATCAAATTTGTATATTTGTCATCAACTTAAAAAGTCAAATATTTAATTAATTTTTTTATTAAAAAACAAATTTTTTAAACAATTTTCCAAATACATTTCACATTTGAAAATGTCTAATCATTTGAGTTTCTCTACACTTTGGGTAGAGAAAGAAAGAGAAAATAAATATAATAAAAAAAATTAAATGCATGACAATGGACAGAAATTTTGAACATTTATTTTTCTAAGACATCGTTGTTGGTCGGTTAACTAGTAATAAATTCGGTTTTAAAGTCATCCAAATGTAATTGTCTTTTCTATTTTTCCTTTTCCTTGGTAGGTCTGTCTTTTTGACGTATGACACGTCAATTAGGTCTGTCTTTTTGACGTATGACACGTCAATTAGGTCTGTTATTAATTTAATAACATAACACAAAATACATGAAAGACACTATAACTGTAAATCCTACACTGTAGGATTTATAATCATGTGATTATTTGTGATTCATTTTGTGTTTAATTTTTTAGATAAATTACATTTACTTTTCCCGAAGTTTAAAAAAAATAGAGCAAGCCCTCACAAGTTTAGCATAATTACACTGGGCTCCACTAAGGTTTTAATTTACAAAACACTTGACTGTTTCATCATAAATCCACTAGTTGTATGAATAAAAATAATATTATCATATCTTTTATACTGAAATATATATTTACTTTATGTATCTTTATGTACCTTTGTGTTTTCATACCATTTGTATTAGTTTTGGTCTTGTAATTTTACTAAAAAGCGAAAATCAATATAATTATATTAAAATTGTTGTGCTGCTTGTATTTTTTTTTTAAATTCAAGAAAGTTCATTTACCCTAATTTTTTTGTTCCCAACTTTTTTGAATTCATTTAGGTGAAAGATATTTAGCACTTTTAAAAAGTAGAAAAAATATTCTAAAGGCCTAAAATAAAAAATTAACCAAACATAAAGGAGGTAAAGTGTAATTTATCTAATATTTTAATCTAAAGATAAAATTTGCTGTAACTTTTCGTATACAATTTAGGTATCCACCGGATTAGAACTCCAAAACCTACTACACCAGTATGTAATTTTGAGAATTGAATTTTTTTAGTAATTTTTAATTTTTTATTAAAAAAATGTGTAAAAATATATATATATAAAAAATTGATTTTTTTATAATAATTTTTTAATTTTTTGACCGAACGAATAAATTGTCAAAATAGGCTTAATCTTATTTATTACTTTTTTGTGGATACATTAAAAGTATAAAAATAAATAAGCCCGAGTCTCCGAGCCCCCATAGTGATAGTTATTCTAAAATTTTATTTAAAAACGGGCATAGTGTGAGCTCCACTTATTATTATTTTACATTTTTATTATTGATTTTTTAAATATTAAGCAGAGCCCACGAGCTGATGTTATTGTCTTTCAATTTTTAATTTTTTTTTTTTATCTTTATCAAAAATAAATATAAGCATTTTTGTTGATTCTAATAAACAAAATAAAATAAAGAGTCGAGCTTGACTTTGCATACAACACAATCACTTGTTGTGAAACACTAACTATAAATTCCATACTATTCGTAGCATATATTCATTCAAATGTATTATGCACACAACTTCTTTGCTGCATTGTAATCATATATATGAAGGAACACATGAGAGGTCCTGTAGTTGGTTTGCTATGGTGGATTCTTGCCATAGCAAGTCTCGATTTTAGTTTCTGCAATGGAAACTCCACCGTGTCTTGCATTGCAAAGGAGAGACAAGCCCTTTTGCGGTTCAAGGACGATCTTACTGATCCTTCAAGCTGGCTTTCCTCTTGGTCTAGCAATGACGACTGTTGTTCATGGGATGGAGTTGTTTGTGACAATTTTAGTGGCCATGTCCGTGAGCTCCATCTTCAAGGTTCATGCACAGACTACTCAGGTTTTATGTGCAATGATTACATACCCAAGTTGGGTGGTAAGTTAAATCCTTCTTTGCTCAATTTGAAAGATTTGAATTACTTGAACTTGAGCTACAACGATTTTGGAGGGATAGAAATCCCCAATTTCATTGGTTCTTTAAGGAGTCTAGAATATCTTGACCTCTCTAAAGCTGGCTTTAGTGGAGTAATTCCTCAAACACTTGGGAATCTCACAAGTTTGCACTATCTTGATCTTCAACATTGTTCTAGTAGTATTTTGAGTCTAGAAAATTTTCAATGGATTTCTGGTCTTCTCTTGCTCCAACACCTCGATTTAAGTTGTGTGGATCTTAGCCAATCCTCTAATTGGCTGCAAATGACTAGTATGCTTCCTTCTTTGGTAGAATTACACTTGCGTTACTGCCAACTTGATCTTTCTTTTTCTCTTCTTGGCCTTAACTTTACTTCTCTTGCCGTCCTCGATCTCTCCGGAAACTACTTCAAACCTTTGATGCCAAATTGGTTGTTTGGTCTTACTGGCCTTGATTCTCTGGTTCTACCAGAATGTGGTTTTAGTGGTCCAATTCCTAATGGACTTCAAAACATGACTAGCCTTCGAGATCTCGATCTCTCATGGAACCGTTTCAATTCCACCATACCCATTTGGTTGTATAATTTCAAAGGTCTCAAATCACTCAACCTTGGTGGAAATGATTTACAAGGCCCAATCACAGATGACATTGGAAATATGACTTCTATTATTCACATTGATTTGTCATACAATGAAATTGAAGGAAGAATACCAAGATCTATGGGAGGTCTTTGCAGCACAAAATTTATTGATTTTTCATATAACAAATTTGGTGACATATCAGATGTTTTCAGAAGTTTGACTGGATGCATTTCAGATAATTTGGAGACGCTAAGGTTACGTGAATGTCAACTTTCTGGTTCTTTCAGTGATAATCTCGGGCAATTTAAAAATTTGCAGAAACTAGATCTTTCAGTTAATTCAATTGTTGGTCCACTTCCATGGTCAATAGGAAGACTATCATCGTTAAAATCATTATATTTGAATGATAATCGATTGAATGGAACAATTCCTGAAAGTCTTGGTAATCTCACGAAGTTAGAAGAACTATATATTAGTTACAATTTTTTGGAAGGGATTATGTCAGAAACTCATTTTGCCAACCTCAAAAATTTGAAAATTTTAGATGCTTCTAGCAATTTATTGATTTTTAAAGTAAGCCCTAACTGGATTCCTCCATTCCAACTTGATGAAATTAGTTTAAGGTCATGTCATTTGGATCCACGTTTTCCTAATTGGCTTCAATTACAAAAGAAACTTTCATATTTGGATTTTTCATCCACTGGAATTTCAGGTAATATTCCTACTTGGTTTTGGAACTTATCTTCTGGAATTCATTATTTAAATCTCTCTCACAACCAAATCCATGGTGAGATTCCATATATTCCAAAACATGATGACCATTCACACCCAGTAATGTACTTAAGTTCCAACCAATTTAGCGGTCCATTGCCTACTATCTCTCCTCATCTAGTTGAGCTTGATCTTTCCAACAATTCATTTTCAGGAGATATGACTCACTTCTTGTGCGGCAAATCGAATGAAACAATTGAATTGAGGATTCTTATCCTTCGAGAAAATCTTTTATCAGGAGAAATTCCTGATTGTTGGATGAATTGGCAATCAATAGAAGTCATCAATCTTAGAAACAACAATTTGAAGGGGAGTATTCCAAGTTCCATAAGCTTCTTAAGTCACCTAATTTCATTGCAAGTACGCAACAATAGTCTGTCAGGTGAATTTCCTCCATCACTACAAAATTGTACGCAGTTACTAACAATAGACCTTGGTATGAATAAGTTTGTTGGAAGCATACCAGCATGGATTGGAAAAAGTCTTCTTGACTTGAAGTTTCTTATCCTTCGTTCAAACAGGTTTATTGGCGAAATTTCTTCCAAACTCTGTCACCTAACCTCTCTTCAAATCTTAGACCTGGCAGACAATAAATTGATCGGAACCATACCTTGGTGTGTCAACAAGTTCACTGCCATGACCACTATACAAAACTCAAGTGATTGGATTGATTATTCTTATTATTATGGGCAGATCCTAGAGAATGAATTTGTGGTGACAAAAGGAAATGAGTATCAGTATAGCACTATTCTCCCACTTTTAACTAGTTTGGACCTTTCAAGCAACAATTTATCCGGAGAGATTCCTGAGGAACTAACAAGTTTGTTGGGCTTGAGATTAGTGAATCTATCTCGAAATCACTTGACAGGAATGATCCCCAAGAAGATCGGGTACATGAAGTCATTGGATTCTATTGATCTCTCAAGAAACCAACTCTCAGGGAAAATCCCTTCGAGCATGTCAAATTTGAATTTTCTAGGTTATCTTGATATATCTTATAATAACTTGTCAGGTAAAATTCCAACAAGCACCCAACTCCAGAGCTTTAATGTTTCTAGGTTTGTCGGCAACAAACTCTGTGGACCTCCACTCACACAGAAATGTAGTGCGGATAACGAACCAGTCAACAATGGAGGAAACAAGGTAGACAAAAGAGAAAAACCTGAAGTGGATTGGTTTTATCTATGCATGGCATTAGGATTTGTAATGGGTTTTTGGGGTGTCTGTGTTCCTTTGTTGCTCTTCAAGTCATCGAGGTATACCTATTTTCAGTTTGTAGATACAATGTGGGATAAACTTTGTGTTGTGTGTGGATGTTGGTAAGCCCAAGATTATGTCAAATGTTGTGCTTAGCGGTGTCTGTGTTCCTTTGCTGCTCTTCAAGTCATGGTGGTATGCCTATTTTTAGTTTGTAGATATAATGTGGGATAAACTTTGTGTTATGTGTGGATGTTGGTAAGCCCAAGATTATGTCAAATGTTGTGCTTAGCGTTAATTGTTTTGTTTTGTTTTTTGTGCGCACGTGCACGCAAATTAGATTTGTGATCTATGTATTTTGTTTGTTGTATTAAATTGGTTTATATAATTTTAATTGTATCAATTTTATTATCTAATTTTTTATTTTATATCAATTTGATTAAATTAATAATATCTCTTGAAAAAATAAAAAAATTATTTAAAAGAAAATTGACCATTTGAAATTAATCATCAACCACTGAATTTCTATGAGCAGATTGAATAACCTTTTATATCCCTTAATTTCAGTTCAATAGCTAAAAGAAACAATTCTGGTAATTCATATCACATGGTGGGACATATTATAAAATATATAATTTCACTTTAATTATTTCACTTATATTTTATGTAATTAGTTCTACGATTGATTGTGTGTGCAGTGGGAAAAAAAATGTTAAAAATCTAACATAGATGGATAAATTACTCTTCAACCCCTTTAAATTTTAAGATTTTTCTACTTTAGTCCTTAACATTTGAAATTTTTCTCAATTTATTCCCGAAACAAACTTACGTACAATTTTGAATCGAAAATGCTTGGTAGTACCGTGGCACCATTTGGACTCTGGTCCATTCACTAGAAGGTAGAATGAATTTTATCTGATTAATTATCTAGGTTAGTTAAGTTTTCAAAACTTTTTTTTTTTTTTGAATAATTAGAAACAATTTTGAAAAAATAAATCAAAAAATTATATTTTTGAATTTTCAAAAAGTATTTCTCCTCCAAAAAGAGAGCCATATGAAAATAAAAAAATAATTATTTTTTCACCATTATTTTTTTAAAAAATTTCAAAAAACAAATTACAAAAACAAAACCAAATAAATAGGTGTTTAGCATTTCCAATGGTGATACTATTTTAGCATTACCAAAGCTATAATTTGACATATTACAGTAACAAAATATCAAATTATAATAATGGTGTCACAATATGCCGTCTTGGAACAATGTCAACCAACTTTTCTTTTCTTTTCTTTTCTTTTTAATGTGGTGTTTGGGTTTTAGTTTTTTGAGTGATTTTTTTGTTAACTTTTTTCTTTTTCTTTTTTATCTTTTGTAATCTTTTTAAAAAAAGAAAATGAAAATAAATGATTTATTTACTGTCGACAAGACTAGACAAATAAACAAAACAAAAAACAATTAATGACTTTTTGTTGATTTTTTTGTCTTTTTCACTTGATTAAATAGACCAAAAAAGTACAAATATAAATAATTTTATCAAAAAACAGTACGAAAGACGAGAAAAAAAAAATTCATTTTTTTGGCTTTTTAAATTTTTTTTTTTCTATGTTTTTGATAATTTTGCTAGAAAGTTTTGAAATGAGATGAAAAAAGAGACTGCATGTGGGTTGATGATGCGGAGTGTTAATATAATTGTTAAATTAGTATATAATTGTTAATTGAATCTTTAGCTTTAGTATAATTATTAATTGTATAGGTTTATGCTTTCCTTTTTGCTTTCGGTGATAGTGGAGCACTTTGGTATCCAATGTAACCATTCTTCTCTCTATAAAAAGAGAGTTCATTCCTCTTTGAATGTATCACATACAATACAGAACAATCTTGTAATACAATCAATAATAATATAGATACATTATTCTCTGTATTTCTCTTTACACATTAGAATTAACACGGAGGATGTTGTAATGCCAAAACTTGTGTGAAATTTAGCAACAATTTTGGCATTGCTATAATTTAACACAAGTTAGAGCATTTTTAATGGTTTGTCATTGCAGCTGCCATTGCTATAATATAGTAGTTCTGTTAAAAAATGATGCTCCAATGGTTGAATATAGCAGCTGTCAAATTTGAGAAATGTTAAAGCTTGTGTCAAATTTGACACAAGCTTTGGCAGCTGCTATTTGTGCCAACTCGGCCTAAAATAACTGTTTCCCTCCCTCTCTCCCTCCTTTCCAGCAACTGTTTCACCATTTGTTTATTAGAAGTCACCAAATTATTTTTCAAAATTTTTTTTGAAATCAATAAATCAACAAAATCAGCAAATGAATCAATAAATCACAGAATCAACAAAAATCAACAAAATCAACAAATGGTGAAATCAACAAAATGGTCTGTGAATGATTTTCAAAATCATTTTGAATGAAACGATCTCAAAATCATTGTGAATGAATTTCAAAATCATTTTTTTTTTTTTTACAGAATCAACAAAATCAATAAATCACTCTCAAAATTCATCAATAAATCTCAACAAAATCAACAAATGAATCTCAACAAGAAAATGGAAGAAAAAATACCTCAATCGATCTGTGAATGAACCGATCTTGTTGTCCTTGGTTCAGAATCGGTATGGAAGGTTATCGATCTTCAAATCGATCTGGTGGTCCTCGGTTCGATCTTCAAATCGATCTGGTGGTTCTCTCATATCTCTCTCTCTCTCTCTCTCCCCCCGCTACAACCGTGGACTCCAACATCGACTCCTCTCTCATCTTCAATCGATCCTCAATCAGTCTCTCTCTCACAGTCCTCAATCGGTCCTTCTCTCATCTCCCCAATCACCTCTCTGAAACCACCAAACATCGAGAGAGAAAAGAGAGAACTAAGATAAGGGTTGATGGATGAGATACGTTTGATAAAAGAGAGAAGAGAGATATGTTTTGATAAGGCCTCATCTCAGCCATTGAAGTTTTATAAGTGGACGGTGGAGATCTCATTCGGTGTAAAAAGAGCTGTTGTGCTCTGTTTGGTTTTTAAAAAAAAAAACAAAAACATTAATTTTTTTTACAACAGTTATCTTAAAAAAAAAAAAAAAACATTGTTTATTTTTTATGTGTAGTTAAAAAGAATTAGGCCTCATCTCAGCCATTGAAGTTTTATAAGTGGGCGGTGGAGATCTCATTCTGTGTAAAAAGAGCTGTTGTGCTCTGTTTGGTTTTTAAAAAAAAAACAAAAACATTAATTTTTTTTACAAGTTATCTTCAAAAAAAAAAAAAAAAAAACATTGTTTATTTTTTATGTGTAGTTAAAAAGAATTATTAAATATGTAATGATATATTTTTTAGTGGGGTGAATTATATTTATTTATTTTCCAGTTTTTCATTTTTTTCCATTTATTATATTTGTCTAGTTGGGAATAATATAAAAATATAATTTTTTTACAAACAGGTAAAAAAAGTCACAAAAGACAAAAAATAAATAAAAATAAAATCACAAAAAAACCTATATCTAAACAATACTTGCAAATTTGAATGAAAAGTTGGTTGAAATTTACCAAAATAACAAATAACTATTAGAGCACTATTACTATAATTTGATAAAATAGCACTATTTATTGTTAAATTATAACAATAGACAAAATAACAAAAATGGTTGGAGATGCGCTTATAGCAGATCACTGAATTGCAAGTCATGTCAAATTTTGAGTGCAGCAGCTCCGATTACTAGCCACTAGAGTTGCCATTAGGTGTATATGAATGATAGGTATAATGCAGCATGGGATAATAAAAAATAAAAATAATAAATAAATAAAAACAAGAAGGGACAAAGTGGGACGGTGAAAGTAGAGAGGTGGTGAATGTTAAGGGAGAGGGGAGGTTGATGAAGCAATGAAAGTTTGGAGTTAATTTGAAGAGGAGAAATAAAATTTTGATTTTAAGAATTTAGAATTTAAGTTTTGGGTTTTGAGAGTAAATTATGAAAAATTAAAAACATTGTGTTAAAGTGAGAAAAAGAAATTTAAGGATTAAAGTAAAAATTTGTGAAACTTAAGAGGGTATAAAATTTGAAAAATTATGAAATTTAAGACAGTAAAGTGTATTTTATCTATTTTTCTATATAGTGCCACATGAAATTTTTTATAAAAAAAATTTGGACGAAGGATAGTTTTACAAAAAATAAAAAGAAAAAAGCTAAAAATGATAGAGATTAAAGTGGAAAAAATATTTTAAAGGCCAAAAAATAAAAAACAAAAACAAAAATTACAAATAAAAATCTCAAAGTTTCTTCTAATAAAATAAAACATGAATTTTTAATTTTTTCAATTTAAACTCTATTCTTTAAAAGAAAAAAAAAATTCAATCTAAACCACCACCCTATCCTATCCCTATCCTATCTCAAATAAAATTGGAAGAAAAAAAAATGATATTTTAGTCATTAAACTTTTCGTTAAATTTAATGAATTTTTTTGTGAATTGTACTTAATAAAAATAGATAAATAAAATTGACAAAACCAAATTTGAATTTTTTTAATTTTTCAAAAAACAAAAAAACATGAAACTTAGAAAAATGCTAGAGATCTCATGGTTATACACCATGTAAAATATTTGATAAAAAATTTTACAATCTCTAATATTAAGCTTCAAAATTTCTATTAAATATCTCATGTAGATGTGGATTCAGGCCTATATAAAACTTATATAATGTGAGATATTTGATAAAGTATAGTGTTATACAAACAATTGAAATATTTGATCTGTAAAATTCATCACCGACACGAATTTATAAAGACATAATCCATAATCTTCTGTTTATAGACTGTTACTTATCAAAATTATCCTGTTAATAATTTTTACTTGTCACAAAACCATTCCTAAGCAATACAGAAGAAAAACCCGACTCACGTTTCCCCCAACGAGAGAGAGAGAGAGAGAGAGGGGAGGAGAGAGAGTAATGGCGGCACAACCAAAAGAACAAGACCCACACCACCAACCCACAACTGTAGAACAACTCTCCGATCACCACCACTCTCAAAATCTTCTACATTCGAGAAGTCCGTGGATGAGATGAGGCAAAATGTTGAAGGACTCAGGAGAGAGATTGAGGAGAGGGATCATGAGATGTTGAATTTCATGATGACGAGGTCGGAGTTTGAGGAATTTTCCGATTGTCACGGTGGAGGAGAGTGTTGTTAGGAGGCCGCGAGGTTTGGGGAGGTTAGGGTTTCGGAGGAGTGTTTTTTGGAGAGAGAGAGGGGTGTAATGGGGATGAAATGGGTGATCTGTATGGACAGAGCAATGGGTTTAGTTCTGAGTTTTTGAATTCTGCATCGAAGCTCTTGCAGGTTTGATGATCTTCACACTCTTCTCTTTGTTCTCTTTTTTTCTTTTTACATTTTTTTTTTTTTTTTTTTTTTTTTTTTTTTTTTGTCCTTTTGATTGCCTGAATTATTGGTGGAAGTTGCACATTGATGGATAAATTTGTTCTGTTTGGTTGCCAAATAAAACAGAAGGAAAGGAGAGAAAAAATGTTGTCTTATAATATCATAGATGACTTCTGATTTTCCTGAGAAACAATCAAATGGGTGATTGAATCTTGACCCAGAGCAATTTGGGTCTTTTTTCTAGTAGAATGATATGAATAGTTGACGATTGACACAACCCGCTTGATAATAATTTTCTCTTATTTAAGACATAAATTCATTTTATTCATCTTTTTAGCAGATCAATTTCTTGTTGATATGCTATTGAAATTGCAAGAATGAATAGTTTATGGAAAGTTTGAATCTTTATTGTTTAGGCTACGGTCACAATACAAACCTTTAACTTACTGGAGTTTTTATTCTTCTTATTACGTAAGCATCCAAGATGATGTAATTCTGGTGACAAAAAGCGAGTATATATTCTCGCACTTGTAACCAACATGGACCTTTCAAGCAACAATTTTTCTGTAGAGATATCCCTGAGCAACTAACAAGTTTGTTGGGCTTGCAACTAATAAATCTATCTCGAGATTACTTCACAGGAATGATCCCCCAGAAGATCGGTGACATGCAGTTATTGGAATCTGTTGATCTCTCAAGAAATCAACTCTTTGGAGAAATCCCTCCAAGCATGTCCGGTTTGGCTTTCCTAAACTATCTTGATTTATCTTACAATAACTTGTCTGGTAAAATTCCATCAAGCACCCAACTCCAAAGTTATATGCTTCTAGTTTTATTGGCAACAAACTTTGTGGACCTCTGCGTCGCAGAAATGCAGAGTTGATGGTGAATCAATCAACAATGAAGGAAGAAACAAAGTAGACAAAGGAGAACATGAAGTGGATTGGTTTTATGGGTGCATGGCAATAGGATTTGCAGTGGGTTTTTGGAGTGTTTGTCTGTCTTTGTTTTTCTTCAAGCGATGCAGGTATGCCTATTTTCAGTTTCTAGATATAACATGGGGCAAACTTTATGTTGTGTGGATGTTGGCAATCCAACATTATGTAAATTGTTGCGCTTATTAAGCCTTTATAGGTCTCATGCCTTTTGTACAACTTGTCATTGAGAAATTGCTCGAAAGTTGATCTTCCTATTTCCTTTTACAAGTAGTAATATAATTGTGGTTTAATGAGTGTTGAATGACCTAGCACAGATACATTGTGAAAGGATAAAACTTATCACCTTGCATATTTTCTAATTTTTAAACAACTAGTGCTTTGCAATTATTATTATTATTTTGTTGAAAACAACGATTTTTTAAAATTTTATTTACAATGGTTTTGCAATCGATGTATATATATTGCTTTGTTTTTAGTTTTTTAATCTTAGATAATGATGATTTAAAATTCTTTATTGTTAACTCCAAACAAGATTATCAAGGATTATAAGGACTCACATCATATAATTATTCACATCTATATATTGTGTAAAATTTTAAATATATATATTTTTTAATTCTCTAATAAGTTTGTGTTAACATAAATTTCAGAACTTCATGTTTCGGATAATTTACCATGTATATCATCAAGAAAACAAGACTAAAACAACATACCTGAATCCATCGATGAACGGTTAAACGGAAGCGTCTGGTTGTCAATAAAACCTTTGATATTGACTATGTTATTGCCTTCTAATCCTTTCCCTTATGTGCCTTATGTTTCTCCTTGAGAGGATTTAAGAAACAAAACAGTATTCTTGTTTTTTCACTCTTGGGAAGGAGTAGGGACCATAACCTTTTAGAATTTACAAGCTATTTCGTTAAAGCAATTATATCACGTGTAAATTTGGATACCAGTTCTTTCCGAGTTCAAGTTCTTTATAATGGCTTTTCTCTATATGCTTTGTAGTGTCTCAAGCGATATCGTTTTGGGACATGACTATTTAAAATAATAAAAAAAAAAAATTCATCACATACACGAGCTCTGTACGGAAAAGAAATAAACCTTCTCGTATAATTCTGTTGATCAAGTTTGCGCTCCTCTGTACGTCGTCGCTTTATCACTTGAAAACACAAACGTGAGCTAGTCGGCGGGTGTGTGCCGGAAACCTCTTTGATGCCTAAGTCAGTAAGCTTGACAAATAGACAAAAGCTCTGTGTATTCAGAAAGCAAAGTTGTGTGTTACCTCTCCAAAGGTGATGTTTGTGAGCTTTTATAGGTTTCGTGTGACACAATCCTAGTAGGACTTGTACTTCTCCATGCAGAGTCCTCCTAGGATTCATACTCCTGAAAGATAATGCTTATCCTTCAACACCCCCCTCACTGCTTAAATCAAGTGAGATGGTTTTTACAACGGCCGAACTCCAACATGACCGAAGTAAACATGACTATGCATAGCCGCAGAATAAGCTGAACTAGCTTTCCTTTTACTGCTCTTACGTCGGCTTCTCATGCACAACCCATGGCGTGGTTAGACCGAACTAACATGTCATGATCGGTGTAACTCCAAGACCGGTCTAACTCCAAAGTACCGATAGACCGATCTAACTTCGATCTTCTGTCGGACCGGACTAGCTTCACGGCCTTAGGACCGGACTAACTTACATGGCCATTTTACTCGGCCCTTTGTACTACGGCTCATAACGGCCCATGACCCAGCTCGGCCCAATTTTCACATAAATTACCCTCTCAATTGCCCCTTAATTCCATCTGCCTAGCATGATTGGGATTATCTATCAACCAGCCGAACTATAAACTTTCAGTCTTTCCAACCGAGCTATAGATTTTTAGCCTTTCCAGCCGAGCTATTTTCACACCGAGCTCTAGTTGTCCGGTAGTAACGTCTCTTCAATCATAGAGACTGAAACGCTTCCCATTCTAATGGCACGTGGCATGCTCTGATTGACTGAGGACGGCTGTCACGCCGTCTTCGTACTTCGTGAAATTTGAACAGTCTCGCCTTTTTCCCTTTACCTAGAACGAGCCTCTTCATTTTGACATACTTTGCAACTTTTCCCTCTCTGAGCCTCCATTGCTTCTTCAACTTCTGAGCTCGTGTTCTCCATAGCTGTTAATTCTCCCTCTAGCTCCTGCCTCTTAATCAGGTAAGCACTGTACATCTACTTTGTTTTCGTATTTTGTTTTCTGTGTTTTTGCAAAACATATTTTTCCATTTGCTTTGCTTTGTACTTTTCTGGAAAAAACTTAACAATAGAACACATGAGTACATGTAAATCTTGTAGAAAACTGGTTTTCGATCCAAAATCATGATGCAACCGAACTAGGATACTGTTTAAGCTAGGTAAAAGTTTAGTTAGCTTACAACCGGACTAACACTTCATGTTTACACCAGTAGCTTTGAATAAGTCAAACCACTTCTTGATAAACCTTAGCCGAAGTAACAAACCGAACTAAGTTTGCACTTAGCATATTGAGATACCTGAACTCCAACCGATCTAGGCCTTTGGGGCTAAACCAGCTTTCTTAGTTTTTTAGACGGAACTCAGAAAGTTGCCCCTAGACGATCAACCGGTCAAACAGAACCGTTTCCACAATCGAGATATCGAGACGCTTGCCAAGCCCGAACTAATAAAAGCCCTGCTCAAACCGAGCTACCAAGCACCTTGCAGAAACCGAGATAGAACCTGTAGCATCCACATAGCCGAAGTAGGGCTCCTATTTTTTACTTTTATTTTGTAGCACGGTCCAATGATCTGTGCTTAACCCCTTTGTTTTCTACTTTGCAAACTTAGGTTGTCCAAGCACTCCTCTGCGCACTCAATCCGAGCTACTGAGCACAATTTTTGGACCGAACTAATTTGTTCATAAATTATACAATAAATGGGGAAGTATAGGTTTCTAGCAGAGACGCTAGGTGGTCTAGCCGAATTTCGAAGGGATTATGGCATACCTGACGATGTACACCTTACCCTGACCGAAAAAGATGTCATACCCTGGGGGAATGAAGGCTTTGTCCCCTTCACCCTCTTGTCCATAATTGAAACCGGACTACGATTTCCAGTCCAACCCTTAATTTGTGAGTTTCTTAGGCAAACCAGACTATGCCCAACCCAACTATCCACCAATTCATACCGTATAATAATGGGAATAGCCTAACTAAACCGCCAAGTCGATCTCAACCCCGGTCTGACCGAAATCTTTCACCAATACTCCATTGGTTCGAAGGAAGACGGCTGGGTGTACTATCTTAGAATACGCCGTCGTCGTGAGAAAATAATAAAAAACACACCGGATAAAGACTGGAATGACGACGATTTTTTCTAGGTGTCTGGGAACTTTGAGGATCACCAAGCCCAGATTCCTGGCCGAAGCATCAATTGGAAAAAAGGAACACCTGGTATAATTACTTCGGTTTTCTTGCGTGCTTTACTATATTTCGGTTTTTCAATCTTTCAGCCGAACTAACAGTTGTTTTCTTTCGCAGATTCTGCCCACCTCCATTCTCTATACACTCTATACAGTTACCCAAATCTAGTGACCTTACGCGCCGCACTACGGTATCCAGAACGTAGTTGGGCCAAGCTGCTAAAGTTCGAACCGACCTATAGATACAGTGGCCGCCGAAAAGCGAGAGTGACCGACTTTCTGCTAGAGGAGGCCCCAGAACCGGACCCAACCTTGCCAGAAATCTGACTAATCCCACTGACCGCTGAAGAAGAAATGGCCAAGAGAAATAAAGTTAGAGCGCTATTGACCGAAACTAACAGACCCGAAGTACCGCCACCAAGCCAAACGCAACAGGCCGTTGTGACCCTTCCTTCTCAACAACCTTCTTCATCATGCCCATCCAAGCGCGCCCGATCTACCCCAACCGAACAGCGTCTAGTGGATGAGCACGAAACCACACCTCCACCGATTCCACAATCGGAACCTTCTGACCGGGATGG